GAGACGTTGCATGAAACGGTCTCACACTGATTCTCTTGCGGGAAGCCTGCTGCCTATCAGCACATCCCACACGCACGGGAAGGATCCCATGGGAAGCCTCCCGCCCAGCAGGGGGTGACAGAGTGAAGGTCAGGGAGCTGGGCTCCCAGGGTTCAAGTCCTTGCTTCCTCATTTCTTGGCTGGGCAACCTTGAGCAGATCACTTAAACTCTCTGGGCCTCAGTTGCCTTCTCTATAAACAGGAGCAAAAATATTGCCTGCCCCCGAAGTTGTTGCAAAGATTCAGTGGGTCGTGTGTATGAAGTACCTAGCACAACAGAACTTCCAGAACTTGTGTTTAGGTTAGGCTGAGGATGCTGATGTGTGGGGCTGGGAAGACCACGCCAGCAACCTGCTTACAGGGACAAGAAGGACATAGGTGTACAAGCCACAATAAGCACCAAGGAGGGCGAGTCGCTGAGGCCCCACACACGGGATCAAGCGCTCCCGTGCAGGTTTGTGATTTCCCACATCACTACCCTTCCTTCCACCTGATCCCTGAGCTCCTGCCCTGTCTCCTTCCTGGGGTGGAAGGTCCCAGTGTTGAAGGGTTGAAGTGTGGCCTCTGCGTGTGTCCTCTGGACTGGCCATCCTCCCGGAGTTCCAGGGACACCCCCTCGGTTGGTTCTGTTGCTGGACTCCTGGGTCTCCAGATCCACACACCACGAGTATCCTGTGGCTAAGGTAATCTCCTGCCAGCAACTTTGAGCTTAGGACTTCTTTGCTTGACCAGTGGTGAAGAGACATGGCAGCTGGTATCTACCAGGCCTGCCCAGGCCCCCTGACAGGATGACTGTCGTGGTAAACCAAGCACCCTGACCCCACCCACCCCACCCCTGCCTCCCTGACCTCCAGTTTATATTCTTTCTGCTGCTGAGAAGGTGTCACTTACTTCTGGAAAGCTCCTTTGGCTCTCTGGCTGTTTCTTACCCCAAACAGGGAATTGAAACAACCCCAAAGCTGTCATGATCCACCAGCTGTCTCTTTATTTTGAGAAGCAAGAATAAAAAGTCATGAAATTTCAGTGCATAATGTGAGACATGATGGAATTACATTTTGTGGCAGCTGTAAATGCTGCTGAAAAATATTTTAGTTCGGGCAATTTATGATAAAGTTCATAGAAACCTATGTCAAATAGTTTGAAGAAAAAAAAAGAGGAAAGTCATTGGTTGATAAAGTGGGGTATATGAGAGATATGTTAGGCTTCAGGCATGGCTGAATCAGGGTGCTCAGATGATGTCATCAAGGATAGTCTCTCTTTAGGGTGGCTCAGTCAATTAAGTGTCCGACTTTTTTTTTTAAGATTTTATTCATTTATTTCACAGAGAGAGACACAGCGAGAGCAGGAGCACAAGCCAGGGAAGTGGGAGAAGGGAGAAGCAGGCTTCCTGCCGAGCAGGGAGCCCGATGCGGGGCTCGATCCCAGGACCGTGGGACCATGACCTGAGCTGAAGGCAGACGCTTAACAACTGAGCCACCCAGGCGCCCCTAAGTGTCCGACTCTTGATCTCAGCTCAGGTTTTGATCTGCTGTCCACAGTTCTGTCCGAGTCTGGAGGCCTGAGATTTGGAGGCTGATTGTAAGTCCTGACCTGAGTCTGAAAGCCTGAAAACCAGGAGCTCAGGTGTTCGAGGGCAGGAGAGGGGATGAGAGAAAACTGGCCCTTTTGCCACCTTTTGTCCTCTGGGTCCTCAGGGGAGTAGATGAGGCCCCCCATGCAGGGGAGGGCGACTCCTTTCCTCTCTCACCCATTCAAATGCCATTGGCTTCTGGAAACCCCTCTCAGACACGCCCAGAAACAACGCTTCCCCAGCTCCCTGGGCACCTCTGCCCAGTCGGGCAGACACATAAAGATGTGGGGGTGACTTCTGTCTTGCAGAGAGTACTGGCCATGCTGGGGGACCTTTTGGGGTCAGGAAGACCACCTGTGTGTGTGGTTATGGCCCAGGGCAGAGGGGTTGGTGGCTGGCCTGGCGGAGGCGGGAAGATGGCAGAGCACACAGAAGCACTTTGCAAACTCTGGATGTTGAGTGGGAAGGAATGGGGGGGGCGTGGGGAACCGAGGAGGAACTGCGTGGATGGTGGTGTCATTGTTGAGATGGGCAGACTGGGGAGCAAGTGGTTTGGGAGAGAAAGTCCAAAACTCAGTTTTGGACAGGCTAAATTTGAGATTCCTCCTGTCCCTCCAGGTGGAGAGGGTGAGTGGGCAGTTGGCCACCGTCAAAGAGATAAGGATTTCATTTGGGAGCGAGAGTTTATGAATGGCAGCTACAGCCAGGAGGCCGGCTATCCGCCCGGGGAAAAAGTATAAGCAACCATCCCCGGGTGGAGAGACCGTGCAGGAGGAAGGAAGCGGCAGGGAAGGAGGGGAGCCGGTGGGGCACAGAGCGTGCTGTTGAGGCGTGGCCGCCCGCTGGACGGCGTGGGTGTCAGGCAGGGGGTGTCAGCCGAGTGGTGGGGGAGGCCAGACCGCAGAGCGGGAAGTGGGGGTGTGGACGTGGCCAGTGGAGACGCCTCCGGAGCCGTGTGGCTGGGAAGGGCAGCAGGTGCAGGGGCAGCAGCGGGAGGGGAGCGGCGGGGGGGGGAGAGGATGCTGAAGGGACGGGTGTGGTCCGAGCTCCCACGAATCGGTCCTGCCTGCTGGGGCTTCACGGCCTCGAACATCAGACCGCACGAGGGGCACGTATTTGTACACACGTGTGCGTTCCTGACAGCCACTCCACAGTGACCGGCTCATCAGCCCCAGCAGTTTCGAAGCCAGGGGTTTTCGTCCGTCTGACCCGTGAGTCCAGGCAAGGAGCCCACGGAGGGTCTGCCGCCCGGCGATGCCCCTGCGGCCGTGAAGCCTGCCCCGGCGCGCTCGGACCATCTCCGAGTTCTGTCCGCGTTCCGAATGAATCCTTGTAAGGAAGATGGTTTCCTCCTTCCACTAATAGCTTCCTTCCCGAAGCTAAATAAAGAGTACCCGGGCTGCATTCGGCAGTGCGCGCTTCCAAAATAAACAGAGGCTCAGAAATTAGCCGGAACAATAGTGTAATTAGACAGCTGCGTCATTGTTCAGGCAAACCAGCTCGGCGCTCGGAGCCCGAAGCCGCCCATCTGCCCCAGCAGCGGACTTTCAGGGTGGAGAAGGCGCGTGGTAGGAGGCCTCGGGCCAGGAGAGGTCGGCGAGCAGGCGGACCCCGACTGGGAGGCTTGCCGCCCCGAGAGGCTTCCGCCTGTGTGGTCTCGAGCAAGCAAGTCGTTCAGCTGCTCCGTCTCCGGCTCCGGCGCCCACGGCCGGCGGTGACCGCAGCGTCCAGCTGCCAGCGTCGGACGAGGCGGTGCGCACATGGGCAGGTGCGCAGCGCACAGCGAGTGCCCATTGATGGGAGCGCAGCCTCTTCGCCACCATCTCACGGGTGCCGCGGTCCCAGCCGCTCACGGTCCTGCGGGAAGACTCTCCGCTCCTTCTGCAGGTTCCTCCCCCCACAGGCTCCTCCCCTCCCTGCAGGCTCCTCCTCCCCCTGCATACTCCTCCCCTCCCTGCAGGCTCCTCCTCCCACGTGGAGGCTCCTCCCCCTCACAGGCCCCTCCCCTCCCTGCAGACTCCTCCCCTTCCCGCAGGCTCCTCCTCCCCCTGCAGGCTCCTCCCCTCCCCCAGAAGCTCCTCCTCCCCACAGGCTCTGCCTCCTCAGGTTCCCCCCCTCCCATAGGCTCCTCCTCCCCCGCAGGCTCCTCCCCTCCCTGCAAGTTCCTCCCTCCCGCGCACGCGCTGGAGCGGCCTCAGGGCGCCGCGCCGCGTGACGTGCACAGGGCTCCTTAGGCTCAGAGTGAAAGGAGACCCAGGACTTCATAGATGCCAGGTACCCCCCCCC